ATTACTAAAAAAGTGCTTTAATAGACAGCCCTGTTTATACGGAGAAAAATTGATCATGGTGCTTAAGTTCGTAGAAATATATAGCCTTCACCTATAATTCCTTAGTAATTCAAGGAAAAAAACCCAAAATATTTCATTAGTACGTTATTGTCAAAAAAAAGAAAAAACGATAGAAATTGAGAATCGAAAAGAACGTGATTATTTGCCATTTTGAAATTTATAAAAATAGTAGTTCGTTTTTAATTTAAAGAAAAATATACCAGTATTTTTTATTTCTAACTTACTTCACCTATTTTAAATTTATCTAAGCATAAGATACAGTTACTTCGCGCTTTTTTATTTAGATTGTACATTAAGCAGATGAGTAATTTACTTACGATCAGTACGCAGAACAAGAGAAGAATTTTGAAAGATGTCGAATTTACTGACCCTGTGGGGTTCCACTTCCTTTCCTTCCCAAATTCAACGTGCCACTGGGAAAAAAAGAAACACGAAAGAAGAACATCGTTTATCAAGCGACATTTTTTTAACTGATTGAGAAGCTGTTTTGAATCAACTTTTATTTTGTCCTGTTTTCTGATAACGTCAAAATAAAAATAAAGGCAGAAAAACTCTTGAGACGTCGGAATCCCGTAGTAAATGATGTGTGAATGATAAATGAGTTTCGATTATAGGCACTCGTGTATTCGAAAAAAAAACTTACACATCGGAAAAACAGACCATTCACAGCAAAGTGGCAAAAGAATCCACCTACACCGCTGCATCTCTTTGTATAGATTGAAGGAGCGGTTAAAAGGTGCAGGCGACGAAAACTTACTTGGGGAAGGAAAACTTATATTGTGGTTAGTTTGCCTTTGTATGTGTCTCATATTCTTTACTTTGGTAAAGAACATAAAATAAAAAATCTTTAGCTATTTCTTTTTTTTTTCTCATTAATTTTATTCCATTTTTTTATAAATTAAATTATGAATACTTATTTTCTAAAAAAAAAAAAACCCCACTTACTACTGTGTCCAAAAAGTAAGACCGATTATTATTTTTTTTTAAAATTCTTTATTTATTCTTCCAAATTTATTTCATCGCCTTCAAAGTAATCCGCTCCGGACACAATGAAATTACTCCAATTTTTTTTCCAATCCTCAATGCATGCTACAAAGTCAAACTGTATATACCACTTCTGAACATTTCTTTCCGATATAGGAATACTCACCGAATGCCTTCTGCAACATTGTACACGTTTCCGCAAACAAAATTTAATGCAAGTTCTTTGCTCAATTAATTCAGACATTTCAAAAATCACCGGAATCAGTTTAGCGTCTCACAAAGCCAAGCGTAACTCAAACACCAATGAATATTTTGACGTCAAATTCCAAACATCTGTCAAGGATAGTGCCAGCAACCTAAAAACGAAAAAAAATTGAAATTCCATAAGCGCCGAGAATTTTAAACTGAAAAGTGGTCATTTGACGAATTTGAACTGACAAATGTCCGTGTCTAGGAGGACAGAGTGATTATGGCGCCAGGCTCTAATACCCTTCATTTACCTGCTACCCGTCAGAAGTTGATGCATCTATAATTAATTTTTCTGCCTTTAAAGTTTTACACATCTTCTGCTCTAATCGCTTTGGGCTTTTAAGAAAAAGTTTAGTTTTTTTGTCGAAATCATCTCAGAATTTGAATTCTGAGAATATTGCCGTATTGTAAAATTGATTGTAAAGTATATAGCACAATTTATCATAAACAATTTAACACACAAATACTAAGCCAGGACCCATATTTCATCGTTCTAACTAAAAAAATTATAATGTCATTTCGCTATTTCATACCTCTGAAGAGTATTTTAAAAACATTGCTTTATTGTTTCAACGCGATTATGTATATTTTAATAAAACTTATTTATTTTTCTTATTCTAAATGTAGACTATGCCTTCGTAAACTTACTGAAATGTGATAAGAAATTTATTAATAAAACAGTGAATGAATTTTGTGCCTTGTTAATAATATCTGTGGTTTACTGCTACATGTCGTGTACGACAATAATAAGTCTAAATCAACCAACAGCTTAATTGTTGATGCAAGATGTTTGCACAAACTGTCACAACTGCCCTCCTATTTTTTCGCTTCCAAAGGCTGTTATATAAACACAAGGTACCATACAATTTGAAACTTAAGCGTTCTGTAGGCCACTAAACTCGATTCAGGTACATTTCTCAAGTTTGGAACAGATAGGCACAAGAAAAAACAAAACAGATCAAGTCATTACAGAGACTTTTAAGATTTACATGAAAACAGGACGTAATTAGTACTAGACAGTTTCTAGTTTGAAGTACTCTGAGGTTAATTGTTCAGAGGATAAAAAAATTTTCAAACTTTGAAATAAGTCTAAACATAATTTTTTTTTTTTTACAAAAGTCATTAAACGACAGTCCTGGAGCAGGACTCGAACCTGCGCTCACTTCGAGAAGTGAATCAGATGCCCACGTTACGCAACTCCCATCAGTTTCTGGGATACATTGAAATACATGATGAATTAATCCATCAGATTTAACCAGTATCCTTATTCATCAGCGTTCAGTTTTTACGATATTACCGTCAATAAACGGATTCAACAGTTACCAGCCTTTCACTGGATTCTTCAACTTCACCTAAACGCTTTTTGTTTTGCTTTTTTTGTTGTTGTTTGACTTGGGTTTGCTCTGCCATAATCATAATAGGGCGTAAAGACTGAACAACTACCTGACAGGAGCCACGCTGAAGGGATTGAAGTCTGATGCCATAACCACTCGGCCATCCAGGACGACATCCCGGTTACAAATTGTATTTCTCTGTTGATTTTGTTTTATATTTTTTATAATGTGAATAAACGGAAAATTTAGAAAATTATTACACAAAATTTAAATGCTATTAAAAATGTTTGATTTAAGAAAAATTTTAATGCTCTAATTTTAAAAGAATTCTGCTATCAGTTGCAAAATTATTTCCAGGCATTATAGACAATTCTTAGTTCCTAAAAATAATAGTCATGGTGGTCATCTTATTGTCTTCTTACCATAAAATTCGATCGAGCAAGTTGCTTTCTGGCACTTAAGAATTATCTAAAATTTGTCACGTTTGTTTGTTGCGCCCATACGACGTAAGATATGATTTTTATGTTACTTTTTCAAGTATTTTGATTATGAATTCTCTACTGCTACCCTTAAAACGTAATAAATAAATTAAAGTTATTGTAAAATAATTTCCAAAGATAAAACAATTAAGTTACAATTTATAAGTAGTTAAAAATTAAATTTCCATTAAAAATTTGAAAATTTATAATTTTAAAAATTCACAATTCGTTAAAAATCATAAAGAAATCAAAACACAAACTACTGGGCAAGAACACTAATTTCGTCATCCTAATTAAATAAGAAAAGATGCTATGATTTGAATTTTGCCGTTCATGTAGGTTAAATATATTTTAAAACCATTACAAATCTATGTTTTCATGAATAATCCTATATTTTAATGAAGCCTTTTATTTTTCTCATTCTAAATTTATACTTTTTCCTTATAAATGTATTGAAATGGGAAAATTTTTAGGATAAGTGCGAATGTATGGTGAAACGGAGAGCGATCTTCCTGCCTTATTAATAATGTCATAACTGTCGTATACGAAAATAACAAGTCTATCAATAGCTTGATTGTTGATGCAAGATGTTGGAACATTTTGCCACAATTGCCTACGAGTCTCTTTGCTTCCAATGTCAGTTATGGTAAGATATGATGTCATCGCATTCGAAACTGAAGCCATCTATTGACTATTCATACTCGAGTCAGGCACATTTGATAAATTTGGATCAGAAAGGCATAGAAATAAAAGCCAAAGAGAGCAAATGATGCAAAGAAATGTAACCATTACATAAAAACATCACGTAATAGCATTTCTTGTTTAAAGCAATCTGTGCGTATTCCGACAGTGAATAAGAGTTTTATAAGCTTGAAAATTTTATATGAGTCCAAGCACCAGTTTATCTTTTATATAAACAAAAATAAAATTCAGTCCTGGAGCAAGATTCGAACATCCGCTCACTTTGAGAAGGGGATCACATAGCCATGCCACGCGATTCCCATCTCTTTTTGGGACACTTTTAAACACCTTAACGAAATAATCATTCACATTACATATGTAAGTCTGTTGGCCTGTGTTCATGTTGCTCGATACTACCGAGAATAAACGGAACAACAGTTACCACTCTATCAATGGACTCTTTAACTACACCTTATGCTTCTATTGATTTAATTTTTGTTTCGTTGGTTGAATGCGTTACAATGTAATATAGTCTCGACATGTGCGCAACAGGAGACACACGAACTGCATAGAAGTCTGACACAACAACCACTCGACCGTCATGGATAAACGAAGTCCTGAATAGTCTTTGTTTGGGAGGGACACTTTGAGACGATTCTGTACATTTTAATTACACGTATTTATTTTCCTTATTCTAAATATATACTATGTCTTCGTAAATTTATTGAAATGTGATAAGAAACTTTTAGAGAAACTGTATTAATAAAACAGGAAAAAATTATCCTGCCTTGTTAATATTATTTGCTGTTAACTCCTACATGTCGTGTACGAAAATAACAAGTCAAAGTCCACCAACAGCTTGATTGTTGATGCAAGATGTTTGCTCAAACTGTCACAATTGTCTTTGAGTTATTTTGCTTTCAAATGCAGTGATATAAGCACATGGTACCATATAATTCGAAACTTAAGCCATCTGTAAGTCACTAAAACTCGATTCAGGTACATATGGCAAGTTTGGGCCGGATAGGCACAAGAAAAAACAAAAGAGATCAAGTCATTACAAAGACTTTTAAGATTTGCATAAAAACAGGACGTAACAGAATTTCGTGTTTAAAGTACTCTACAGATAATTGTTCAGAGGCTAAAATTTTTCCAAAATTTGAAATGAGTCTAAATATCATTTATCCGTTTTCATAAAAGTTATTAAACGACATTCCTGGAGCAGGATTCGAACCTACGCTCACTTCAAGAAGGGAATCAGATACCCACGTTACGTAACTCCCATCAATTTCTAGGAAACCTGTAAATGCATGATGAACTAATCCATCACATTTAGCAAGTATCCTTATTCATCACTGTTCAGTTTGTAGAATATTACCGAGAATGGACGGATTTAACAGTTACCAGCTTTTCGTTGGATTCTTCAATTATACCTAATTGCTTTTTGTATTGTTTTTTGATGTTATTTGCTTTGTTTCTATAATTTTGCTATTTTAGAACCATGATATGGCGTAAAGACTGAACAACGACTTGACAGAAGCCACATTAAGGGGATTGAAGTCAGATGCCATAACCACTCGGCCATCCAGGACAAAGCCCTTCTTCTAAATAGCATTTCTATTTTGATTTTATTTTATATTTCCTTTACACTGTAAAGAAACGGAAAAGTTAGAAAATTATTACACACAATTTAAATGCTTTTGAAAATGTTTGATTTAAGAAAAATTTTAATGCTCCAATTTTGAAGGAATTCTACTATCAGGTGCAAATTACTTCCAGACATTATATTTAGGCATATTAATTTTTCTGCTGAAAATTTTACTTTACTTCTGCTTTAAATATTTTCGAGTTTCATGAGAAAGTCTACTTTTTTTTGCTGGAGTTTCTGTAAAGGTAAGCTACAAAATAATTTAAAATAGAAGTATCATAATTTTTATATTTGAAACCTTTGTTAAATTCGTTGTTAATACGACGTATTTATAACTGGGAGTAGGTAAGGTGTTTCGCACAAAGTTGAATAATCATGTAGTAAAAGGCACAGGACAAATATTAGAATATGATGCCTAACTAATCGGTTATTGTGAAAAATTTGTTAGTTGCACAGAACATTATCTCGGAATTTGAGTTCTGAGAATATTGTCGTATCATATAAGAAAAGACCAGAAAAACCTACCTCAAGTAGTCTAATTATTAATACTAGACATTCAAAACTTTTCATTCTAGCTTTCCGAATTCATCGTATTCTAAATAACTGATTTCTATGCGGGCCACCCTATTTTGTTTAAATTTTTACGCTTGAATAATTTCAGAATAATGTAATAAAATTGACAGAAAATGAAAATAAATAATTAGTGACAGGTATCAATTCGATGACTGTATGGAGCTGAAGATCAAAGTTTGGTGAAATCCGTAAAATTGTAAAAAATAAAAAATATATTTTCAAGTTTATTCCTCACTATTCCTGGGTTGACTAGTAAGATTGTTAACTCCAGTTAACAATGAAGCATTGAATTGGTATTGAATAAACGTGTGACTTTCCTACTCCAAAATATTATGTTTTCTAAAATATTAACATTATTACACGAAATCTGTTGGCTTAACAGATTTTTGTACTATTAGAATGAAATTAAATATATTATTATAAAAGGAATTGAGTGAATAATGAGTGAAATTATCTCTCATCTGAACATGTTCTTCTTTGTGAAAACTGTATTAGTTTTGTTTATATGAGACACGAAGTTTTGTGTGTGTGTGTGTGCTTTTGCAATTATAAACTCTCTTAATTTATTTAACGCTTTAAAATATAAAGAAATCCAATTTTTTTAGCGTCATGATGGTCAATTGGCTAGCGCTTTGGCCTTTGAATCCTGGGGGTGGCATGGATGTTTGTGAGTGGTTCGGAATCCACGTTAAACTCTAGTTCCCGGTATAATAAGCGTGAGTGTGCAAAAAATGACCGTAGAGCGACAAACCAGACCAATTTTTTTCTTTCTGAATCTATTATTTACTATATGCGTGGTCCAGTGCTTATGGCCGTAGTTACCATACTGAAAGAGGAATATTTGCAAAGCAAATCGGCAATTTATAGACGAAATACTTATGAACTCGATAAATAAAATGGACAGAAATAATAACTAGACGACTATTGAACGCAAAAGCGCTGTTACAGAAATGGTCAAACTAAGCAAGAAATATTATTTAAAATTGAAAGCGGTTCATGGAATAACCAGCTTAATCGAAACAAATAGAATGGAATTAGCAGAATGATAATTTATAGATATTTCAACAGGGGGATAAAATTTTTCCAAAACTGAAAATTATATATGAGTCTAAATGCCAGTTTTTCCTTTACATAAACAAAAATAAACGACAGTCCTGGAGCAGAATTCGAACCTGCGCTCACTTAGAAAAGTGAATCAGATATCCACGCCATGTGACTCCCAGCAGATTTTGGAACACTTTGAAACATTTGACGAAAATCAATAACATTTCACAAGTACCCCTATTTCCTAGTTGTTGCGTGATATTGCTGAATATAAACGGATTTTACGGTTACCAAACATTCGTTGGATTTTTCAACTATACGTAATGATTATTTTGATTTAATTATTTTTTCGGTTGCTCTACTGGGAGCTAAGGAACGTAATACAATGGCGTACAGCCTGAACAACTACCTACCAGGAGGCACATGAAGGACATTGAAGTCTGATGCCATAACCATTCGGCCACCCTGGACTCCAACCATGTTCTTAATTGTTTCTTCTTTTGATGAGGTGGAGGGAATTTAATGTCATGATTTTGATGCAATAAAGAATCAGAAAATTATTACATAAAATTTTAAATCATTTAATATATTTTACGTAATTATAGTTTTAATACCTCGGTTTTGAATGAATTTTACTATAAACAGCCAAATTATTCCTAGTCTTTTTATCTAGGCATATTAATTTTTCTGCCTTTAAAATTTTGCGCGACTTCTGCTTTAAAAGTTTTCGTGTTTTAAGAAAAGTTTAATTTTTTTCCCAGAATCTTCTCGGAATTTCAATTCTTAGAATCTTGCCGTATTGTAAAGTTGATTGTGAAGCATAAAGCGTAATTTACCATAAAGAATTTAACACACAAATGCTAAACAAGGATACAATTGATGATTCATAATTTTACGGATTTTGAGAGGTAGTATTCTGCATTAATCGGAAACAAATTCGTCTTCACCATAAGGATCAAATTCGCCACAGGGAATCTACAGTGAAATCTTTGCAAATGATTTAAAAACCAGTCATCTTTAGTAGCACGTCAGATATAAGTTGGTAGCAATGCATGCATGATTCTTCACCATTTTCATCATTATCGTTTTGAATACATTCAATGCCGTTCTTTTGTCAGCAAAATTAGTATTACATCTTAATTTGCCCCACCAATAGGTAGCCGTTTTTGCCCCAAAAGATTATTCACACTAAACATGACGTCATTTGAAATGAAAGCAACTTACAAACGTCAAGAAACAGCAAGTCCTAGAAGAATAGCCTCGCCAAACATTGCACCACTTATTCTGAATGCAAAGCAAAACAGAACCCGTGTAGCTGGTATAGTGAAGCACCTCACAAATAAAATGTTTTTCGTTTTTTTTCGAAAAATACATAGAGATTTCAATAAACCATCTTTCTTGGACTGGACTTGACGGCATACTGTTGGCATGAACGATTGGTCCTACTTCATATATAGGATGGCTAGTATTGAACCCCCTATCCTGTATATCAAATCTTCTTTAGAATATTTAAAGCCACAAGACGATCATTTGGACATTTCGAGTAAATCGGTATATTAAATATCCAAATTTAAAATTTAGTTGTGTGAATGTCTTATGAAGATACATAACAACATACCATACATACCAACCTGACATCAAATGCGCCATACCAACAAGCCCGTCCTTCCAACTTTAAAAGCTGCCCCCAAGGGCAGCTAGAGAAAAAGATTCAAAATTATATTCAAGAAATTAAAATATCACAAAGAGTATCTTATCCTGCAGTCAAACAGCTAGCAACTCAATGCACTTCTTCTTATGCTGAAATAGTAAAAAGTAAACCTCTACCATCGAATAAGGTAATACAGAAACATTTTCTGCTTCTGTTATGACTGACTGGGAATATTTCTAGCAGAATTTGCCCACCTCTACAAAACTCGCACTGTTACTTTCTGCACACCGAAGTATACAAATACTGCGACTTTTGTCAATCTTCTTCCTACACCCTCGACACCAATTCCCATTGTCGGCTTTTGTAAACCTCAACCTATTGTTAATGCTAAACAAGTTCACCAGAAAATTTCTACTGGGAACTTCAAAATTTACTACTACTACCTCCTTATCTTCCTACCTACTTATCAAAACTACCTTCAAAATTCATGTTTTTTAATAATAAAAACCGACCACTACTCAATGAGAATTAAAATCTTGGCTTGATGGTTCTTTTGATAACAGGGATATTGTGAAGTTTTAATGTAGAGGAGATGATTTCGGACTGAATTTTTAATTTCATTGAATTTTAATTGTCACTTTGTAACATCAGAATGTATTTTTAAACTTTTTATCCAGTTATTATAATAATATTTGTTTATGAAGCACAACTTTATAGAGTAATTTACATAGGATTATTTCAGCCAAAATAATAGAATTTTAAATTATCTTGTTCTACGAGTTATTGAATAAAATATTTTATTAACATTTAATACTTTTTCAGTATTCTGAAATGCAAGTCGTTGAGTATATTACTGTATATTATAATATAACATTCATATATGTCTATATAATATATACAACAATATATAATATATTATTATATACACTCATGTCCATAAATTAAGGATAATTCAGAATCACACAAAAATTGAACTCTAAAATAAAAATTTTACCTGTAGAATTATCACACACATCTTGAAGAAGAATATGCAAATTACAGGAAACCACCAGATGGCGCGGATAGTACGTCACAATGACGAGAGTGTAAGAGAGGGGTATATAAGGAATGGTGGCAAAGAAGTAAAATTGTTCACAAGCGCTTTAAAAGCCTTTCAGTGCAATAACCGCACAGTTATGGCACAAAGGAAGCATTTGCATGATTTGTTACGTGGTAGAATTATCGGACGACTAGAATGTGGACGTACCCAGCTGGAAGTATCCGAGGAACTTGGAATCGCCCAGAGTGTCCTCTCCAGGCTTTGGCAACGATTCCAAGATGATGGTAATGTGAATAGATGTTACAGCACAGGTCGCCCCCGAGTTACAACGCCGAATCAGGACCGCTATTTAGCAGTTACTGCCAAAACAAACAGACGGAGCACAGCATCAGACCTGTCTCGTCAGCTCTCTTCAGCTACCGGTACGACAGTTTCAAAGCAGACCGTGTACATACGCTTAGGGCACATTGGTCTATATGCTGGTAGGCCTGTCAGATGTGTTCCACTTACCGCAACTCACTGTCGCCTGCGATTAACCTTTAGTACGGAGCATGCATTGTGGACACCGCAACAGTGGTCTTGTGTGATGTTTTCCGACGAGTCCAGGTTTAGTTTGCAGTCTGATTCTCGCCGGAC